GCCTTCTGGTGCATTGTTCAAAGAATACCGGCAACGGAAACGGCTCGAGATACCCTAGCCGGTCCGGCCAAACTGTCGCGCCAAGAAGGCACCGCGGCTTGGTGCGCACCGGGAAGCAAGGAACATATGGTAAGCTGCATACAAAGTATCCTACGCCCTGTTTAGCCTACAATCTGCGCGAAAACAGCGTTCCTTATTGAATGAGGTGTTATGGCGCGAACGCACCACATTGGTAGTCGAAACGTTACTCCGCGGATGGAATTGGAGTTCAATGTGCGACTTCAAGGCGGGGTCGCGATATCCCCAACCCCACGGGGTCATTGCGCCTAGCCTCATCACCGGCCTTTCTAATCCTTGACTAATTGAGCGCCATCGGCCCTCTTCCATGATGCCATGCCGAATGTAGTCGACAGCGAGCCGCATGATGACGAAAATACCGCTATATGGATACATGCCGAGATAATCTAATTTTCAACAGGCCTAGAGACAAACGGTGAAGAGATTATCCGTGCAGAAACCATGTACTTCTTATACTGTGGCTGTCCCCAGAGTTTGGAGAGTTACAGTCGGTCAAACTCAATTCAAGATGCCATCTACCACCGTCTTCCTGGCTGCTAGTGCAGCAGTCAGCTGTGCTTTCGCGCAGACTGTACCCGAGTCTGCGCAGATCGTCGACCAGAAGAGCTTCAATGTTCTGCCAAATGTCCCACCGCCTTCCGGAGCTAATGCTTCAACGGTATGTTTTCCATCTCGAGCAGCTCCATCCGACTTGGGATATCTAACAGTGCTATAGCTGTTTGTTTGGCCCGGTGTAACCGAAGAGTCTCTATCAGCCAAGCCCTTCCACATCTATGATGAGGAATTCTACGATGTCATTGGTGACAGCCCTTCGTTGACCACCATTGCAACCTCAGAGTCGGACCCCATCTTCCATGAGGCTGTCACTTGGTACCCTGCAACTGAGGAAGTTTTCTTCGTTCAGAATGCTGGTGCTCCTGCCGCGGGCACAGGACTGAACAAGTCTTCCATTATCCAGAAGATCAAACTTTCGGATGCCGAGAAAGTGAGGAATGGAACCCTCGAGGCAGTCCCCGTGACTGTGGTCAACACCTCCAACCCACAGGTCATCAACCCCAATGGTGGCACTAACTGGAAGGGCAACATTATCTTCGCTGGTGAGGGCCAGGGTGACAACGTGCCATCCGCGTTGTATGTTATGAACCCTCTGCCACCATACAACACGACCAGTAAGCATCTCAAATGTAATTCGAGAGTGCAACACGATACTGATCATCACAGCTCTTGTGAACAACTACTTTGGTCGCCAGTTCAGCTCGCTCAACGACTTGGTCGTTAACCCAACCAACGGTGATTTGTACTTCACCGACACTCTTTACGGATACCTCCAGGACTTCCGTCCTTACCCCGGTATGCGAGAGCAGGTGTACCGCTACAACTTCGACACTGGTGCGCTGACCGTTGTCGCCGATGGTTTCGGCCACCCCAACGGAATCACTATCTCACCTGATGGCAAGAAGGCCTATGTCTCCGATACTGGTGTTGTAGGCGGATTCTACGGTCTTAACCTGACTGCTCCTGCGTCGATCTACTCATACGATGTCTGCGAGGACGGCACCTTTGACAACCGCAAGACCTTCGCTTACGTCCCCGCTTTTATCCCTGACGGTATGTTCTTAGACGCGGACATTAACTGTTGAATGCAGGCGCTAACATGTTCTGATAGGTGTACACACTGATTCCAAGGGTCGCGTTTACGCTGGTGCCGGTGACGGTGTATGGGTCTACAACCCTTCTGGCAAGCTTATCGGCAAGATCTACACTGGCGTGACAGCGGCTAACTTCAAGTTCGCGGGAGAGGGACGCATGGTCATTACCGGACAGACCAAGCTGTTCTACGCCACTGTGGCCGCGTCTGGCGCACCTATTCAGTGATCAATGGAACTTCCAACGTCGCTGCTTAGTTGATTACTGAGCTTATACCATAATGTGTTGCACTGCACAATTAGACAAGTAATGTAATTTGAAATGCCAGAGCTCTAGACTTGAGAACCCTGGAAATCCTGCAGTGACAGTGATGCCCAAGAGGATTCCAAGATAACACGCCTTCTCTTGTCAGGTACGCGATACCGAAGCTATACCATACCTAGTGTCTTGCAGGTCGCTGTTACATGGTGGCGTCTACTAAATATTTGTCTAAAGCCACCGGGTGTTGAACACGAATGCGCAAGGTAGTTCGCGAAAGGTGCACGTGATGTTGGGCTTCCAGCAGGTATAAGGGGAAGCTAAGTCCACTGGGTCCCGAGAGAAGGGCCGTAGACTACCAGTCGGCGTTACCCCGGACCCCGTGGAAAGGATGCCTTCGGCTCCTTCATTGCTAAACGCCACTTCGACGCAACGCAAAACACGAAGCGATACAGCACTGCCTCCTCCTGGGCAATTTGAGTTCTCTTGCGATGCAGCGCTACTCATATGCCTTTCCGCAACAGGCAGCTACTTTCGCATCTCAGAGCGTACGAAGAACGCGTCTGACTCTCAAGTCACTCAGCGGCACCAGCGGAATGACCTGAACAAGGCGCCATTTACTTGGCACATCGCCACAGAAGCTAGAAACCGTGAACCGCGCTTCCGTCATGCCACCTGCAGGTACCTTCAAAGTTAAAATCGCGTACGCTGCAAGCGAGCCGGTCAATGCAGGAAAGATCAAACCGACGTGTTCTACGTGACACCGGGAACCGAGTATCGTTTTGCGGGTGCGGGTTGGAGAAGCGCATGAAGCCTTCAGCCATGTGCCTCATTCTTGGTCGATCCGGAAAACTCCCCATCCTCCTTGTGTGGTCTAGAGCGGCATCGACCATGTTATCGAAATCACTCGGGCCTCATGTAAAGTACGCAATATCCAAATGCGAGAAGGGCCTGTTGTACTCACTTGCTGGTTATCCATGGCGATAATGTCCAGGAAATACAGCCCAGATCATACGATGCTTGATTTCTAAAGCCAAGGTTTTTTTCTCAGGGAAATAAGAACTGGACTGGGACATGGCGGCCACGGCAAGCAGATAATGATACAGGAGCGAATCGCAACCTCGATGTGAGTTGGGGATTAGCTGGAACGGACCGATGTTCGATTGCGATTCAAGCTAGTGTGGCTGGCATGGCATTCACGCCCACCAATAGGGGTATTCACATAGGCGAACATGATGTGTCGCCAAGAAAGGGAGGGTCTCATGAGATGTCTTCCGCTGTCCCCGAGCGAAACAGACTGATCTTGTGAGGGATTTCCTGGCTCTGTCCGCACGTACCAGGATCGGTATGTCCTTGGTGCCCCTGCAGATGCGGCTCAGATACGATACGGCTGATATGGGGGGGAGGGAACATGGGAAGGTTCAGACTACCCATCCACATCCATGGCGGAACCCCGGTTACACCGAGCCTGGCTGAACAAGTGTTGTGGAGGTGATCCCCAGATCCGCTTTGAACTCCACTCTTTGCTTCGTTAACACTGCTTTTCCCTCCCTTCGAACACCCACCTGCCCTGCAATGGCCGTCAACGTCGTCGTATCGAAGACCATTGCGGCGGTGTTTCTCAGCATAGCACTTTACAACTTTCTCGAACTTAATGTCTACATTTTTACCTTGTTCAAGAGACGGAGCGGGCTCTACTTTTGGAGCTTTACCATCTCAACATGGGGTATCGTCTTCAACGCCACCGGATACACGCTCATGCACCTGGCAGAGATCCCGGAAAAGAACATTTACGCCACATTCATCCTCATAGGATGGTGCGCCATGATCACTGGACAATCGGTTGTGCTTTACTCGCGATTACACATCGTGATGCATAACAGAAAGAAACTCAGAGCCGTTCTGATCATGATTATAACCAACGCTGTGTGGCTTCACATACCCATCATTGTTCTGGTCTACGGCGCCAACTCAAGCAACCCGGACCCATTCGTCAAGCCATATGCGATCTACGAAAAGATCCAGCTCAGTGTCTTCATCGCCCAGGAACTCATCATCTCCGGCCTATACGTTTTCGAAACCACAAAACTCCTCCGCATGGAACGTACAATCGGCAACTTTGGCACGAAAAGCCTACTTCACCATCTCATGTTCGTCAACTTCCTTGTCATCCTCCTTGACTTCAGCATCTTGGGCCTCGAATTTGCAGATATGTTTGAGATCCAGACCTCGTGGAAGCCACTCGTATACAGCATCAAGCTCAAACTCGAATTCAGTATTCTCAACCGCCTCGTCCAGTTGACCAGGAACGCCAGGAGTGGGTGTGCCAGCTCGTATAGTAACGGCGCCATTCAATCCCAAGGCGTAGCACTAGGCACGATGAAGGGAACAAAGAAGGGAACGAGCCATCAACGCTCCGTTCTAGCCACCGCCACAGATCATCAAGAGCAATGGGAGGTGCACGTTAGCAGGGGAAAAGCAAACAATGAGGCGTTCCCATCGAGCGTTATAAAAACAACAGAATTCACGGTCCAGAGCCATGCGCGCGAAGACAGCGAGGACAAGATTAGCGTGGCAGGGAGCAAAGAAGAGATTCTGGCCCATTCGGCACCTCATGATACCCAGGGGACTAGTACTTCTTCTGTGTCGTCAGACCACCAGTATGGGAGATATAACAACCAGCCATGGCAATAATCACAAGACCGTGTGTACACTTTGCCACACGGTTGCTACGAATTTCTTTGATACCAATAGATTTTACTTTGTTTCACTTATGAATTATGAATGGACTAATGAATACGCACCTGGTTCGTGATCAGTACCTCTCCTGGCTGGGTTTCATGTATGCCAAGGTCCAAGTGTTGCCTACAAGCTCTTGATCCTGTCGGAGACCGGTTACTATGATATTCCACCTTCCTAGTATGGAATTGACCCGACTTCAAGCACCGTGATGTCTTGCACAAACGCTTTGAACTTTTTAGCTTACTTGTTATGTCTGAGGGGCTAGGTGGGTCAGACTATTCTTCAGCCGTGTCAAGTTTGTCTGTATCGGAGCCGTCAACGCCAGAATCTTCGAAGCCAGAATCGTTGCGCTCCTGTTCGAGTACAATGAAGCCTTCAGCATTGGGGCGAGGCGACGCTAGCGCTAACTTACCTGGCTCTGTGGACATGACCAAGGTGATTGAGCGAATGAGGCTAGCCTGGATATGGTACGTTTCGTCCCAGAGAGATGCTGTCGATGGGGTCGGTGAAGCCTCAACAGTTGATGTGTGGTTCCTGAGCAAAGGCTCAATATCATTACCAAAGCCAGCATCCATGAACTCTGGGACCAAATCAGAGCCCGGTGACATATTTTGTGTCGATGGTAAGCCTAGTGCTGGAGCTGCAAGGTCAAAGCCAGCACAATGTTTCTCGCTTTGAGCGTGGCAACCGTCGTCTCAACAGTTGTGCCAGATCCGAGTGGATATGAGGTGAGCCCAACAAAGAAGTCTTCTATAACAACGGCCCGTAGTGCAGATATTTACGAGGATCAAGCGGGTATAGTCAGCCGGACAAGAGAACTTATCTGTGCTTCGCTGTAACCAGTCGGCGAACTCCTTAACAGCAATATCCGGCCTCCCACGGTATTGGCCGCAAAATTTGGCGAGTTCAACAGTAGTGATACGGGGCTTGCTAGGATATTAAGCCTGGAAAGCTTGAGCGAAACGAGCGATGGCGTCTGACATGTATCGTTCGCAACCGTCGTTGTCGAAGAGGCGCTTGAAGGTCATGATGGAGCTGGCTTTGCTTGCGTACGAGATTTCGAACGTGCGCTCACCACGCTGAATCTAGCTTCTCAGGATGATTTATCCTCATGGTGGTCGTTTCACCTTCTGTGGCACTTATACCGTCAATAACATTATGTAGATCCGAAAGCGTCACACGCCTCTTTGGAGAACCAGTGTTCTTCTCGTCTTTGTTGGCCTCGACTTCGTCACCCTCACTCAAACAATCAAGAGTAAGCAATTTAATAGCTTCGACTTGATCCAGAACCTTGTAATTTGCAGTAGCTTGCTTCTTCATTAATTTCGTCATCAGAGCCCCTAATGCAAACACTTGCGCAGCATTTGTAAACGTAGCACATTCTGATGATTCCTTTAGTACAGGCTGTAGTTTTGACTTCTGTGCACTGCGATCGCTAACACCAATACCGATGCAGTCAACGTCCTCAATGCCAATGCAGCTCCGGAAAGGGGCCCTGCTAAAAGCTTCACTTAGGTCGTTGTCAGCTGTACCTTGTAGATTTATCAGATAGAAGGGCACATTTATATGAGAAGCAATGCCGGCTAAGAGTGACGATTCTTTAGAATTGGGTGGATTGGCGAAAAGATGACTATAGCGATAAGGTCGACTGCTAGTTTTGTACCAAGTCTGGGAGTCTTTGTGAAAGAAAAGGCCAAATATCGTCGATGATATCCTGCATCACTCTTGGGTCGAGGTCGATGGTGGAACGAGGGCGTTTCCTTCGCTGAGATTGTCTATCCTTTCCGGCATCAGCGCGTATTCGACTACAGTTAGCTTTGTGTTTTCGGCAATACGCTTCTGGAGGTATTCGAACAATGTCGTGGTCGGCTCTCGGCTACGCACTCAGCATCGGACAGCCATGCATGTCAAGGGATCGGGAACGCGTACGAAGAATTCGCTGTTATCCATGATTTCAGTCTTCTCCTTTCCCTTTTCCTTATCTGCACCCTCGTAGTACGGTCGGCTACCTATAAGGCTCGATAAGCGGCTGAGGTAGACGCTGTACTCCCTCGAGACCAGAGACGCTGGAAAAACATCGAGGACGTTACGGATGGAAGCTCCATTTCCAGGAACCGATGAGCATCTGAGTTTATAGAAGCGAAGAGTGCATTTGCGTCGACGCAGCAGAACTGACTAAGCGAATAGTTGCCCCCACCGGCTGAACCACAGCCGAACTATCACGTCTCAGACACCACGCGTCTCGGAACGTGATACTCAAGCCTCACAAGGCTCATTTCGTCCAATATCGCATGAAAGCCAGCTCTCGCCCTCTACCAAGCATCATGCAAGGCCTCTGGGCACGCGATACCTGTACCGGCTATCGCGGGCTGCGAATCGTCGCTGTGATTGCGCTTCCTTGATTTACTGCTAACGACATTTCCCGCTTCAGGCCGTCCTTTACGCTTCTTTCTTTCTGTCGTTACTGCTGGTCAGCATGCATTGTTGTTGAGCAATGATTTTCTCGACTTTTTCTCCGTTACTTTCTCTCTTTTCGTCATGTCTAATGCACAATGTCATCAATGCACAGATGCTGGGAACGTGGTCGCCGGATCATGATCCACTCGAGAGACGACAGAATGGCAACAATAATCGTAATGGTCAGAATAACGGACCCGATACCAGCGCGTTCACTATCGTGAATGGAAGAATATTTACGCCAGGGTTGGGAATCATACTTGCGGTACGTCAGGCGTCGAAGGATGCGCGATACTCCCGCTGACAAAAAGATAAGCCCCAGCCCTTCACGCCTATGGGCGGCGACTTTCTTCACATCGCGCTCGACGTCTCAGGCGACGGCAAACTCCCCGTACCGCCACGCAACATCGCTGATCCGCTCACACAAGTCTTCAATTTCACGCTCTTCCTTACATCGACGGTTACGCAGAAAAACTTTACGATATCGAACCTGACAACGTCCACCCCACCTTTCGCAGACATACTAGATCAGGAAAGTGGCCAAACAGTCAAACACATCAACTTCGAATGGCCGGAGTGTTTAGTCGGGGATAACAATGAGGATGAGGGTTCAACTGCGAGGGGAGATTACAACATCAGCATACACCAGAATTACCGATTAAATGGTGTGGAACGATACACTATCTTCAACCTTCCTATCAGTGTTACAAACAGCATTCAGCGCTTTCCAGGTGCCTCGCAGTTGACCACGAAACCTGCTCCCGGTCCACTCAGCGCAAACGGAGGCCGAATGCCCTGCGCGATGATCGAGAATCCGTTGGAGGACTTTCAGACGCAGGTTAACAGCGTCAACAATCCACCGGGGCAGCCTATGCAGGATATTCCGCTCGAAACAAGCGCAAGGAGTGACGGTGGCCAAGTTGGAGGAAATGGACCAGATGATGGATCGAGTGGGAGAGGAGGAAATGGCAACAACCAGAATGGACAGGGAGAGATTGCAGGACAAGGTGGTAACGCTGCACTTGGAGGAGCTGTGAAGATGACGGGAGAGTCATTTTCAATCCTGATGATTGGGATGTTGGGCGCGGTTGTAGTAATGTGCACGTCTGTTAGCTGGTAGTAACGACTGATTGCAGCCACACTACTCTTATCCTTTGCTACATTCTCGATCCAAACTGCGCTTCTTACTAAGCGGTAGGTTGTTGATTTCCATATGACCATAATTAGGTAGTCGCTAGTGCTTTGCAGCTGTAATGAGACCATGATAGTCCAATGTATGAACCAAGTCTACGGCAATAACGTTCATCAGGTTGAAGCACGAAGACAAGGCGACCATGGTATCCGTATTCGAGACACGGACGCTCTGCATATACATTAGTTACGCGAGATGAAGATCTACGCATACACGGGAGATCACTGGTATGACGCTCGCACCACACGCACTGAGCATTTGATTCACGATTTGGGATCGATAACCGAGGTGTGAAGTCCATGACAAGTTTGATTGATTCTAGATGTCCGACATCGTGGTGAAACCTATTCAGCTCCTCCCATATATGCCTTGATGCCGTAACTCGTTATCGATCGTGTCGCGTGCCCCGGTGGCGATGCGCTTATTTGGCCTCGTCGAAGACGTAGGTCAGGTGGCACTTTCCGCAGTACTGGCGGTTGTGCATGGCGGCCATGAAGACACCAGCACCGCACTCGGGCTGGGGGCACTCGCGGCGAAGACGCTCAATCTTGCCATCACCGTCGACCTTGTAGTACTTGAGGACAGCTAGCTTGGTCTTCTTGCGCTTGTGCTTGATCTTCTTGGGGGTGGTGTACACCTTCTTCTTGCGCTTCTTGGCCATACCACCACGAAGGCGGAGGACCAAGTGGAGGGTGGACTCCTTCTGGATGTTGTAGTCCGAAAGAGTGCGGCCATCCTCGAGCTGCTTTCCGGCGAAGATCAGACGCTGCTGGTCCGGGGGAATGCCCTCCTTGTCTGCTGGGTATTAGAGGCGAGACTGCTGGAGCGAAGTCGGGCTACGTACCCTGGATCTTGGACTTGACATTGTCAATGGTATCGGAGCTCTCGACCTCGAGAGTGATGGTCTTGCCCGTGACTGCAAAATTGTTAGCTGCTATGTCGTGTGCGACGATTGCGATGGCGATGGCGAATTGGGAGGCGACGGATGCGACGATGGCGGCGCATAGGCTGTGATGTTGGCGAGCACTACTTACGGGTCTTGACGAAGATCTGCATCTTGAACGCTGAGCCTCTCTTCTGAGATGCTTTCCTCACGTAGATGCAAAGGGTGGGGAGGAAACGGAGTCGAAATCGTGAAGTAGCAAAAATGCGTGTGGGCGGGGCCTCGCGTTACTAAGCGGCCCGTGCTCTGCGTCGATGCGCTAGCTCCGGCTAGGCCTAGCTGCAGCATCAAGCGTGGGCGGCTTCGGGTAACCATGTCGTTGCGGCGGCAACGCCAGATAGAGCTCTATGTTTACCCGTCCCGGTAAGGTATTATACATCGTCATCTCCTCCTCCGCATTTATCCTCCACTTCACCAGCACTATTCATCCCTCGCATCCACATCTCTTTGTTCATCTCAAACATCCACTGCTGCTTTAGCGACTGCTACTAAACACATCTCCACCACCACTCATATACACTAGCACAGGCCTCGGCCACATACTTACTTGAAGCAGGCTACTGGGAGACTGCATCTGTACTGAGGATTTCATAAGGACACCAACCGCCCGGCGGAGCGCCGCTTGCTTTGCGTGAGGTAAGTTACTCGAGACTTCCATCTCAGCGCAGTCGAACCATCACATGACATTGAATGCTAACACCACATCAGTTTCGGAACCCATAGGACTATTCCCCATCCTCCCGAGAACCAACTCCGGACTCGACCTGCATACGAAATGCTGTCCAACAACATGCCAGCCGGCATCCAGCGCCAACGAATTCAGCACCGCCGACAACTGTCGACACCCACTGTTTTTGACGCACCCACAGTACGAGCACCACCTGCTAACCTACACCGACGACGACCAAACCGAAGCGGTATGAGCTTGGATCTACGCGGCCTCAGCCTAGAATCCATCCATGCCGCCCGACAAGCCACAAACCAGGAATACACACACCAACCAGGACCATTCGACACACCATCCTTCCAGCAGGAGGACAGTACGGTAAGTAATACTAACAATCTAGGACAAATACCACAGCAATCTATGCAAGTAGCGCATTCGCACAGACAGCCCCAGCCGGGCCCCCAGGAATCCTTTTTGGCATCCCCAGTACAGATCTCTCCCATCACACCGCGGACTCCACGAAGGACACTCCGCGCGCAGTCTCCCCAGCAGCCTCCTTCCTCCTCTTCTAAACCCCCTACTGAACAGCAACTGAAAGAACTTCACGAGCACATACAGTCAGTGTATGGCTCATGTGGACAAGTCTTCATTAACATCCTCCCAACACCCACTGCGACACCACAAAAGCCTGCGCAGCTACCCAGTCATGAGGCTTTCAGCGCATCTCCTCAGCACCCAAGCTTCACTGCTATGGGTGACATCAACCTTGAGCCAACCTCAAGGGCCATGACTTTCGACTTTGACAACCCGGACGCCGATATGGGCTACGAGTCGTCATCTTACTACACATCCGATGCTTTGTCACCATCGCCAGTATCTTCACCACGACAGAGGGACGTACAATCCTTCTTGGAGAACATCGAAGAGCACCAAGAGATGATGTTCTCGCAGACACAGTCTATGCTGCCTACATCGCAAACTTCAATGTCAATCAGCGGTCTACCCATGATGGACTCATTCTCGCAGCCCCAGATCTTCAATGATCTTGAGGTTGACGCAAGCTATGAGTACACTGGTATTGCACCAGAAGAAGTCGCGCGCTACATCAGCGAGCAAGATGCCACAACCGGCAAGTGGACCTGCCTTTACGAAGGTTGCAGCAAAGTCTTCGGACGTCGTGAGAACATCCGATCCCACGTTCAAACTCATCTTGGCGATCGTCAATACAAGTGCAATGGATGCGGCAAGTGCTTTGTCCGACAGCATGACCTGAAGCGCCACGCAAAGATCCACTCAGGCAACAAGCCTTACAAGTGCCCCTGCGGCGCAGGCTTCGCTCGACAAGATGCCCTCACACGTCACCGTCAGCGCGGTATGTGTGTCGGTGGATTCCCTGATGCAGTCCGACGACAAGCCAAGCGTGGCCGCCCGAAGAAGAACCGCCCAGACATGGAGCAGCGCGTCGAGAAGGCCAGCAGAACGAGACGTGCGATAGTATCCGCACCACCATCTTCAGCTGGCTCGCCATACTCAGAGGCTCGATCCTCATCACCGATTGAGGGATATGAGCCAGCTCAGCTTCTCTCCGATTCGCAAAGCTACGACTCCATGAATGCTTCAGTGGATCCCTTCAGGTCAGTCTCTCAGTCATGTTCCGTCTCACACAACGCTAACATATACTCCAGCTTCGAGACCTCATCAAGCCCTTTCGCTGAAGATGCACAATCGAGCTTTGCATCTGCTACCTACCCAAGTGACACCGCGTCCATGAACATCCTCCAACAGCTTTCTCAGCACTCGCACACACCTCCCATGTCGCCCGCTGACGTACGGCCTGCCTCTTCCGGGTCTGCCAACGGTTCCAGTGAGCCAGTCCAGTCCAGCCCTTTGAAAGTGTCTTCCTCTCCGTCGCGGTCATCGATCCAGTCAAATCAGTTTACAACACCACCAACATCGCCAATCGAGTCCAAGGACGCTCTCGATGAGCTGTTTGACACGATGCCTGACAGCTCGTACTCTCAGTTCGATCTTGAGATGAAGGCAATGGGTGACTTCACTTCACTGGACTCTTCCTCGTACGACCTCTTGGACTTCACTGTGTAAATCTTCTTACCCGACGTCACGACTCGACTGCGAGACTGTATGATAACTGTTATGGATTACGAACGTATAATGACTTGGCGTTCGCAAGATCTCTGGAAGATGTTTCAACGCATTGCTTTCGATTTTCGCATTTTGAGCGGGCTTGGACAGGATCTGAGATTATTCTTACGAGAGGACGATGTTTCGCTTCTGTTCTTTTGTTCATTGTAGGGGCCGCAAGACGTGGGATCACGCTCCTTTCGCAGGCAGGATTGTTTTTTTCAAAAAGGCGTATACGGTTAGGTTATCTCACGACGTTTAACGTCAGAATGAGTGCAGCATGTCTGCTAGCGATGCGCCACCACGATAGATGAGCGCCTCTGTAGCAATGAGACAATGTTGGACGTCTTCTCAATTCAAAACACATCATGGTGAAATGTCATCATTCAAACTTGGTACTTGCATGTGATTGGCGTGTCAACGAGCGCCCTGGCCAAAAGCAAAATGTGCCCACCGGGCGTCGTACGGGGGATGGTCGTCGCAGAAACGTGAAGCGCTAAGTCGTCCCAGCACTTTCTTTGACGTCACGACATCGCGCGTGGACGCGTTCGCGACGCGCCAGTCCCGATCCCTTTCACCCCAACCTTGTCAATTTCATACAGTTTCAGATCGATACCCTTAACTCGATTCAAATCAGATCTATCGACCTTTCCGTGCCTTCCAGCCACTTAGCACTCTTGCTGACGATGCTATTGCTCCACTATCTCGATCGTACCTGCAGATCAGGACAACATCTATGATGTAGATGCATGGGCCAGATGAAGTCCCCTAGAGTGTGGCATGGCATTTACTTTGCGATTAGGTCGGCGATCTGCAATAGCGATGATGTCGGCGCATGGGTAGAGTTGTAGGCGTGGGCTGTTGCATGGAAGGTATAGATGTAGTCTCCCGACGTTCGCATTATAGACCATCTCTACCCATTCTTGCGATACGTCTGTTACTTACAATCTCATTTTCCTTGAAGCAATGGCTCAAACCACTACTGCCAACAAAGCCTACACTCTACACTTTTCCTACGACGAGGACGATAGCTGCGCTTTAACTGCTCTCATCAACGATGTCCGCTTCCACGTCACTGTTGATCCCAAAACGCTCCAGAAATCCAGTGAGAAGCCTCTCTACTACAAGTATCTCGAATTGGTCTCTGCACTCCGCGAAGCCGAGGAGCGCGAGGAGGAGCTAGCTGAAGAGCGAGAAGCGAAAGTGCATGATAAGAAGAACAACAACAAGAGTAAAGACCGAGAAGGCTCGGAGGGAAAGGACAGTGGGGTGGACGTCTCGGCCGACGACGAGTATGTACCAGATGACGGTGAATACACACCAGAAAACATCGAAGAAGCAGGAGAAGACGCCGACCAAGACTCCGCCAGTGCAGGCGTCGAATTGCGAAACTGGATCCTCGCCTCCTTCTCTGACATTACGCAAACCTCCGCGCCACCGAACCGCGAACCAGAAGAATCAACACTCTACGAATGGTACCACGGCCCAACCTACTTCTACACCTTGAAGATCGCAAAGGGAGAGCTCTCCCCAACACTCCTAGAAACAACAACCGATCTAGAAGCCAAAATCGAAGACCTCGTACCTCGCATGAAGGTCCCAAAATATATGCAAGACTACAAACTTCCCTGGCACAATGCAAACGACCTAACCGTCCAATCCGAAGTTAGCATGCCTCCACCCGCCCATCCAGGTCAAGTTCTGCACAACGAGAGCAGCGAAACATATTTTTTCAAGCCCGTGGTATCCGACCAACCCGACTCTGTGAAGCGCGAAATACAGATCCTGCGGAAAATGGAGAAATTGAATCTCGACATCAAGTTTCCCCGCCTGCGCGGCTTCGTCGCTCTGGGCAACAGCAAGACAGAGGTCATGGGCCTCTTGCTAGAGAACATCGAGACACCGACGCCATTGACAAAGCTGCTCAAGTCTTCAGTAGATGAGGAGAAGCGGCGCGTTTGGAGCAAGAAGAGCGCAGAGTACATATCCCTACTTCACGACAACGACATTATATGGGGTGATGCGAAAGCGGATAACTTCATGGTGGATGCTCACGACGAGCTTTGGATCATTGATTTTGGAGGCAGTTATACGGAGGGGTGGATAGATCCGGAGATCAGTGAGACGCTCGAGGGTGACGATATGGGACTGGAAAAGATTCAGCTTGCGCTCGAGGATCCAGATAAGAATACAGTTGATCTGGGGCTGATCGATGAGGAAGAAGATGAGGTGGAGGCGGAAGTGAGCGAGCAGATTAGCAGTGTGAAGGAGACGGCCAGTACGCTGTTTGTTACTGAGAAGTCGGCCGGCGAGGAGGTTACGCGGACTGAGAAAAGGAAAAGGGCGATCGATGAGGTTGAAGGTGGGGATAGTGTGGACGCGACAAAATCTGCTGACGAAGGGGAAGAAGAAGAACCCGTGGAAAAAAAGAGGAAGACCGTACAGGAAGACGAAGAATAGAGATACCCCTACATAGTATTTGCGCATTAATATCATCACCTTGAACACGTCTTGTCATCTCTTGCTATTGTACTAAGATCGCACACATGACTAACCGTATCCATCCTTGGTACTTTGCGCTCAGAAGGCCTGACGAGTTGTTCAAAATGTATCATGGTTTGAGTTTGGAGTACTTTGTTGTTATTCGTCATGAGTGGAAAGCTACACACTTGCACGCTTGCACCTCGCTTTTCCCAAATATATTTATACACGATGTTGGTTTTGGAAAAGTATTCTTTGGAGACACTCCCCGCCACATCCTCTTACTTCCTGTTCGCCCTCTGCTCCTTGTCCGCCGAGGTTTGGCTGATGTCCAGACCAAGACCCTTGCTGTCAAGGTAGACCTTATTGCTGCTCTGTTGCAGGATCTGTGCGATGTTCCTTGCGTTCTCAAACTCCCTAAGGTCGACATAACTCCTGCTCTTCTTGATGGCGTCACCAATCAGCTCGGCGGAGCGGGCCTCACCCTGAGCGCGAACCACGGTAGCTTGCTTCTCTTGACGGGCCTTGTCAACGACGAAAGCGGCACGCTGGGCCTCTTGCTGTGCGACTTGCTTGGCTTCTACGGCGGCGGTGAACTCGGGAGAGAAGGCGAGGTGCTAAGCATGGTCAGAAGATGCGGGGTAAGAAGGGTGTATAGGTGAGGGCTTACTGTCAGGGAAACGTCGTCCAACATGATGTTGAACCTCGCTGCTCTCCGGACCAGGTTGTCTCGTACCAACCTACTGACGTTCTCACGCTGTGTGATGAGTTGACTAGCATTGAATTGCGCCACCACGCTCTTGAGGACCTCGTTGACGATGGATGGCAGAACGCGCTCATCGTAGTCGGTACCCAGTGTCCTGTAGATCTGCGGTAGAGACTCTACCCGCGGTCTTGAGAGTACACGACAGGTTATGTTGACCATCTGCAAGTCCTTGGTGCCAGTAAGGGAAGCGACGTTTCGTGGTTTGGCGCGCACGTCGTAGGTGATGGGGGTCTCGAACCATGGAATTCGGAAGTGGGTTCCTTCGCTGTAGATTTCCTTCTGAACGCCGCCTACTCGGGTATACTTGATTGCTCGGTGGCCACCATCGACTGTGGTGAGTTAGTACCATTCGGGCTTATGGAAAGTCGGAAGAGCCTGGTAAGAGGCCTCGACAAAGCAAGGCTTACCGTTGAACAGGGCGTTGTTGGCCATCCATATTCCACCACCGATGAGTATCAGCCCTCCGATTCCTCCAAAGACACCCTTCGGTGGTCCGCCGCCGCCCGCGCCGCCGAATCGAGCGCTTCGTCGTGTGAGTTCATTCTGAATGCGCGACCAGGCTTCCTTTGGATCCGGTGCAGACATGTTGGCGGTGAAGGTGAGGGGCTGGCGTGGGGTGCGTGAGACGTCTAGGCGGCGACGATGGCGGATGAGAGCTCGGTGATGAGGTAGACGACGATGGAGAAAATGGTAGCCGGCGAATCACAATCCCCGACGCAAAGCAACCGCCAAGCCAAACCTCCGCATTGCTGTTTCTCGCACAGTAGACCCTTTTACGGCTCTATTCTCAGTTCTTTGTGCGTCGCTTGAAACATTTCACCGTCTCTGTATCCACAGGTCGACTATCTTCGTGGGCTTGACGTCTCATGTTAGACGGTGGCTCTTACAGTTGTCACAGTATGCCCGCGCATAGACCACCCAATCAATGTCATAGGTAGTCCCGTCTTAAGCACAGCTGTCCATAAGCTCCTCCATCTCTAATTAAGTTGCGTACCTGCCCATCTGGTGGTAGTTCTTCTCTTCTTGTGCATTGTCATCGTTTCGTGATACCCGGTTGTTTCTTTCTATCTCGACTAATTGTATTACGCTTGTCGCGTGGAGCATTGCGACGCAGGTGAACTAGTGGTCAAGCAGGAGGTGCGTTCGATCGATATCATGGACCTAACTTGGCAACCCCTAACAGGACTTCAGGTAGACACAAGACTACTTCTGCACATAGTCGAACCATCAATCGCTACCAGACTCGAACCTCATTGTCGACACGAGCAGCGCGTCGCGCCCCACCAACATGCACATCACATCGCAATCGCTGCGAACCATTGCCTGGTCCACCCTCGCTCTCTCCCCAGCATACGCCCAGTATGTCATAGACAACCTAAGCTTTGGCCAGAAAGCGGGTGTTTACATATCGCCCGATCTTCGCTCCGTCCCTCACTTTGTCATTCAGGGCGCAGACGACTATGTGCCGCAGGTACTCTCCGACAGAGTTATCCTTACACCTCCTTACCCAGGAGGCAAGCGCGGTTCAATATGGGCTCAGGACCCGCTACACCACAAGGGCGATTGGACAGCTGAGTTGGACTTTAGAGCGACTGGTATGGAACGTGGAGGTGGTAATCTACAGATGTGGTATGTGAGGGACTCACAAGCGCATGAGACGCCAGCGAGCGTGTTCACTGCGCCCAAGTTCGATGGTCTAGTACTGCTCGTAGACCAGTACGAAGGGCACGGAGGCTCTGTCCGCGGTTTCTTGAATGATGGAACCAAGGACATTAGGTCTCACCCTGATCCAGACACGCTGGCCTTTGGTAAATGTGACTACGCATACAGGAACCGTGGAGAACTTACACCCATCAAACTGCATCACGCAGAGGGCTTCCTCGAGGTCATTGTAGACGGGCAGACATGCTTCAAGACCGATAAGGTATGCTTCTATCCTCCGTTCTCCAAGATATGCGTCACTGACTGTCTTTCTAGGTTGCGCTCCCTGAAGGCTACTACTTCGGTGTAAGCGCCTCCTCCGCCGAGAACCCCGACTCTTTCGAAGTTCACAAGTTTATCGTGTCTACTACCAACTCATACGCGCGCGAAGAGCCCAACTTGAGGAAGAAGGACTATATCAACTCCCAGCAGAACCACCAGCAGCAGCAGGATCGTGCCGTCCAGCAAGGTCACGAGCAGCAGACACACAAGCAGAACCAAGCACAACAAAACTACGGCTCCTCCACTTCGCAGAACGACATCCCAAAGATGCTCGAAGACGTCCTGGCAGGCAACATCCGCTCGCAGCAAGACCAATTTGCCGACCTCCACAACCGTATCCAGATCATCAACAACCGCGTCTTCGAAATCGCTGAGACGGTCGAGAGAATCCAAAAGCAGAACGACGAGCGCTGGAACGAGCTCATGCACCGCATCGTACCCATCGACGACCGCGGCGCTGCCACGATTCGCAACGTAGAAAAGGTCGAGCGAACAACCATGCAGATATTGCGAGACTTGGAGAACAAGGACTTCAAGGATTTCATGAGCCAGATCCATCTCGCGCTGGACAGGAACCACGGCAATGTCATGCAGAGCTTACCCGGCATGATGGGTGACGGTAAGTAAAGAACTCTGGGCTCGTACGATTCGAAAGAGGGATTAAGCTAACGCAATATCACAGTTGTCACAAAGAGTGGACCCAGCATGACTACATTCCTTTTCATTGCGGTCGCTGTTCAAATCATGATTGTGGGTGCTTATATTGTGTACAAGAAGAGGCGTGGTGGTGCTCCCAAGAAGTATTTGTAAATCATCTTTTCGGGTGGCTTGGTCTCATTTCAAGACATACATATGCAAGATATGGAGGATTTATGTTATTCTATGCATGGGAAGTGGGCTGTCATTCACAGTATATTCGTGCTTGTCGGGACGTGGGACATTTCAGGGTACACCGCTTGTTGCTAGCTTAGCTGGTGTTGTGTGACATGGAGTTCACAGGAAAGAATTGCGGTCGTCTTCATTCAGCTTGTTTCGAATTGAAAATATGTGGAATCATGAAGGATTTGTCGTAGCATACCCCCAATAGTAAAACGCCGTCTATGCAGTAAAGAGAAAAGAGATATCAAGCACTACGTGCTCTATGCAGTGTCCCATGTATATGTATGCACCATGCTTCCCATAACGACAACGAGAAATCGAACAGACTACCCTTCAGCCATTCTTCTCAACCTAAGCGCCCATTTTCCTTGGTTCAAGCAGCAACTTGCCCTGCGGACCAGATTTCTCTTGGAATCCTTCTGCCCTCGTGAAGACACGCTGACCACGTAGCCAAGTCTCTCTCACAACACCCTTGAGCGTCTTGTTCTCGTATGGTGAGACCTTGTTACGGAACAGCATGGTGTTTGGCTCGACCAAGAACTCGGCTTCATCGTCAAAAATAACGATATCAGCATCGAAGCCGACACCAATATCACCCTTGCTCTTCTCAAGGCCAACTTGCTTCGCTGTGTTTTTGCAGCACCAGCGAACAATCTCCTCAACACTGAAGTCAGGGTTGCGCTTTGTACCTTCGGTCCATAGAATAGGTAGGCCGAGCCCCACACTCGAGATGCCGCCCCAGGCGCCGAAGAAGTCACCCTTCTCTTCCGGTCCTTCCATCTCGCCCTCGCTGCTCTCGCACGAATCACAGTCTTTCGCGTGACCCTCCTTGCGAGGAGACGGCTTCTTTGGCGCAAGATGTGAGGGAAGGAGTTTGATCTCTGGGGTGCAAGGAGAGTGGTCTGAGACGACTGTTTGAATGACGCCATCAGCTGTGTCTTGGAGAAGTTCCTCCCACAGACCGTCTTGGTTCGATTGGGAACGGATGGGCGGGCAGCACTTGTGTCGTGTGTCGCCTTCTTGAATACCTTCCGCCGCAAGGGCAAGGTAGTGGAAACAAGTCTCTGCTGTGATTTTTATGCCATCGGCACGTGCTTTGCGTAGCATGGGGATGGCTTCTATGGCAGAGAGATGGACGATGTGGAGTTGGAGCTCGGGGGCGAGATGCGCTAATGAGAGAATTTCGGCTACGGCGCAGGTCTCGAAGGATGGGGGGCGCGATTGGAGGAATGTGTCGTAGGAGGTTAGAGGGCCTTTAGGGGCGAGAGGGGGGTTGGAACGTTGGATGTCGTCGCCTACAGAGTCGGAGATGGGTGGGATCATTTCGGCGTGGAACATTAATGTTGTTGCTGAGTCTTTGAGTTCGAGGAGGGCCTTTTCAATGTCTACTGATGAAACAGCAGGGAACTCTTCGACCTGGACATGTGTTAGTGTCACGTGCTTTGGAATATTGAGGTATATGTACTTACACCACTGTCGCACAAGAAGCCCTTGAAGCCACGAACACCCTCTTTGACTAGAGCTTTCAGATCACCGGAGTTACCAGGGATGACACCACCATAGAAGCCAACATCGACCCAGCATTTTCCTTGTGATGCCTCGCATTTGATCTTGAGGTTCTCAACGGTAGTCGTAGGAGGGATAGCGTTCAGAGGCATGTCAATGACAGTTGTGACACCACCGAATGCTGCAGCACGGGTACCAGTCCAGAAGCCTTCCCACTCCGTCCGGCCAGGCTCGTTGAGGTGGACATGAGCATCAACAAGACCGGGTAGTAGGATATTTGGCGAGTAGTCTGTATACGATGTGCCTTCGGGGAAGTCTGTAGGAGGAAGTACTGAATGGAAGATGGATGTGATCTTCCCTGTATGGTTTGATACAACGATGGTAGCCTCAGTCAACCGACCAGCAACGACTGCTCTCGAGGAAGCAAGAACTGTGATAGCTTGAAGGGGTTGCTCGTGGGAAACAGGTGGAGGTGTGGTTGCGTGTGGAGCCATGATGACAAGTTGTATGTGTTTTTGACTGCGAGAAGACGAGAAGGACGTAAAAGACCAGGTAAAGCAGTGCTCAAGTGCTCAAGTCCGTGCTAACAGCAAGAGCTATATACAGTAACAAGCCCCGAACTCGGCAAACGCGGGGAAGAGGGCGTGGGCGTTTCCGGGTGAGCTGCAGATAAGCGTTGATAAGGCACGTTTGGTGTTGCGCCTAACAGCTGTCAAAGAGGAATGTGGTTCGGCTCTCGTAGAGAATAAGGGAAGTGGTAATTTCAAACACTGAAGACGTGTAACGGAAGAAATTCTTTGGGTGACTGATTACCAAAAACGCCAAAACCTGGGGTACAGCCTCTTATCTACCCGTTGGTAGGGGCCAGGCCAAAGATACTCTCGGAGCATTGTAGCCAGAATCTGGGACTGGCTAACATGGCGTCAGGGGACTGTGGAGCATCGGCGAACCCTGAAATACACGTTGCTCGATTCTATCGAGTAACTAGTGTGGAGGTAGGCTATCGTGGCCGCCTTAGCCATGCATCTCGACCCTGTCTCCCGTTGGTCGATCTAGTGTAGATACGAGTCTGTTGGCCATGGTGCTGCGTTCTACTCTCATGATCGGTAACACACTATCTCTGCTGTGCAAATCGCACGTAATGAAAACTGCTTTGCTCAGCCATATATGCTTATGAAAAATTATCTTGAGAACCTGGTCAAATGTTAAAATCGGCA